AACTTAAATGATTTTAGCATATGGCTACAATATAACAAAGAGTGAAAAATTTAAGGGGGTCTGAATACTTTCTGTACCCACTGTATGTAAAGATTTTTAAAGAATTTAATCAAAAGATATTGAGTTTGTTTGGCAAAAGTAAAGCCTCAGTACAAAGCCCCAGCAAAAACTGTCTCAAATACTCGAGCCACACTTCAGAACCTCGGTGTCATACAGTAAAAAACATCCACTACAACAAGGTAATCTGGTGTTTTCTGTGATTTGTCTGTAGTCAACTCAAACTTTGTGCCAAATGCAAATTTATTTACAAAGCAAAAACCTCTTACATACTCATATTCACATGCAGTGCAAACTAAGCTTCACCAGTAGTTTGTTAAAAAAAAACTAGTGATTAGATTTAATCTCAACACATTCTTTAAAATCATCTTTACCTAGGATATGAAGCTACACTGCAATAAATAAGCTATATATAAAAATCTCAACCAGTTCACACAGTTCTTTCTACATGTGTGCAAAGTAACTTGATTCGTATTCTGTAGCATTTCAATGTATTTTACAGGTCTTTTCTAAAGTTAGTACCATTTTTGGGTTGAATTCAAATAAAGCATTAACTTGAATCTCTTTGATTCTCTCTTAAGGCCATGTGGAAGAAAGCTCACTTGTACAGAGAAGATGGTCGTCACGTTGGGCAGGAAGTGGTTGGTGGTTCTTGTAACTATGGAAAGAGTAACTGTTCAGAGTAGTTTTCATAAAGAGCTACTCTTGTATTTTTGAGTAGTGTGGAACTGAAGTAGTACTACTTCTACTTGATGCTTCACCACTGCCATTTACCCCCAAAAATTCCATTATTCATTTAGAAGAAAAAGTAATTTCCCCTCTCTGTGTAAGACCAGCTCATTTAAAGCAGCTGAGAATCGTTCTCATTTTGGTACAAAAACGAAGTATAAAAATAGTAACAGTTCCATGACAGACAGACAGAAGTACACAAGAGTGAAACAAGCATCAACACGAACAACTGTTATTAGAACGTGCTCATCCCATCGGGCCAGACGTTTTCTCCTCTTCATCGCTGCTGCTGGAGGATGATGGTGGCATGTCCTCGCCCAGCCTCTTTAACTTGGCTTTGTAGTATGCCTTCTTCATCCTGAAAGCCTTTGCCTTCTGTTGGGCTGCTCTCCTCTTGTCCTTCACCAGCTCCTGCTCCCATGCCAGCACCTTCATCCTCTTCTCCCACTCCAGGATCTTCATCTGCTGCTGCTGCTCCAGAGCCTCTGCTCTCTGCTGGTGCTCCATTCTCGACAGCTCCACGGCGTTGTGTTGAACTGAGGGGCGGCCTCTCCCCTCTGCCTCACTGCCTGATGGATGGAGATGCTGGCTGATGAGCCTGGATGTGCCTGTGAGGTCAGAGGTCAAACAGATCAGTGAGGTTGTGTTCCTTAGCGTGCCGATACTGTTTATATTTTTAAATGTATTTCTGTATGTTTTTGTATCAAAATCCTAGTAAGAAACTTGAAGTCTCCCTGCACAACAGACCAAAATTAAGCTCAGGATTTAAAACATACTGACAGGTGACCCAGTGAGTCCAGCGATTATGTTCTTGCATCAATATGTGCGAAGATACTTTTACCCCAAACCCTGTGACATTACAACCAGAGAGGGTGTCACATCAAATGTACATATTCAAATGGTTCAAACAACGATTTCATATATAAGGTGCTTCATAGGTGACCAAGGAGGAAGAACCAGGACCGGAGGAACCAAGGACTAAACATAGATACTGTAGGATAGTTCAAGGTATAAAAACATCCCTCTTACTCTCTTGTGATGTGTGTGTATAATTACACTCCATCATCAGTGGTAAACTATGTTCTTGTTCAGCTAAAGGGAGATGATTAGTGCAGTTTACATGAGTTTCTTAATTACAAGCACCATCTTAATCAGGCTAATACAGGTCTGAACTGACACTGGTATTTACCAACAGAAGGTTCACTGTGTTTCAAAGCATCAAATACTGAACACTTTGCAGAGCTCCATCTGTGGATACCTGGTGCTGTAATGTATGCAGCAGGAAACGTCCCATCCTGTACCTCCTCACTGTGGGAGGTGGAGTTTGTACAGGGGCTGTGGTGCAGATCTGGCCAGTCACTGCCTGCTATTCTGTTCGAGGCATCACGCTGGAGGTGGATGGCCACTCGTTCTTTGCTATCCTCAGCCTGAGAAAGAGGAAACAAGTGTGCTCTAAGTGAACATGTTGTTCTGGTAGAATATGTGTCCTTTCCAGTATGAATGTAGGCTTGTGGATTGTAGCTGTCTATTAACCTGACCCGTTTTAAGTTATGCTAAATGTTGCTCTTTCTGCTAATGTAAAATTCTCCTTCTAAAATAAATACCTTTCAAATATTCTCACCCGGTTCAGGCTGCCGTTCATCTGCCCAGTGGCTTCTACCATCACCCAGTTGCCTGCTAACAAGAAAAAATGGAGAAGGAGTCAGAAAGGGAGGAACAGCAGGTAAAAGTGCTTCAGGAAACTGAGCAAAGACCGCCCCCTTGTGGTGGACGCGGGCAAGACACCCTCCATACACAGGTAAACACTCAGATATGCACACACTGAAGCAAACATTTTAGTAAAGCACCAAAACACCTTAAGTATCATGACTACACATATTGTTAGTACTGACAGCACAAAGTGGAAATTAAATTCTTGATCCATCAGTTTGCAAACTATTAAACACCAGCTGCAAGGTCTCTAAGTTATAAAACATTGATTTGATTTATTCTTTCAAGCATGTAATGACAGTTGATATGTAAACACACATAATTTTACACATATCCAACAAATGCTAATCCAATATCAATTTGCTTATACCTAGTACATGCTTGAATGGAGTAGGAAGAAGTCAGACTTATCCAGTCCTACCCCATGACATCATCTTACCATCATTGGTTTGCAAGCAGTATCTCTACATAAATAATTATCTTCTACACCACACAAGTAATATACTAAAGAAATTATAACAGAATGTTAACATTCTTACATAATTACATTCTTAAATAATTATCTTCTACACCACACAAGTAATATACTAAAGAATTATTACA